TAATACAGCAGTTTGTTTTGATGTGTACCTGGTAAAGATGTCAGTGACCTTTTACCTTAACATCAAAATGTAGTTTAACCGGTTAGTCTGTTTTTCAGTTTTCTTTCCTTATGTCATCTGTGAACATCTTGAGCTGTGAGCTATTAAGTGCATGCTTCCCTCAGGGCCCTCTGGTCCCTTCTGGACTAATGTCGAAAGATGGGCTGGATTGGCATGGAACTGTTGGGGTGGCCACACCCAACACCAGGCCGCAGGGGCTACGAAGTCCAGCAGAGTCAAAGGAATGAGAAAAGACAAGTTAAGGATGCATAAGGTGGGTCCAGGGGGCCAACGCTAGTATGGAGGCTACAAAAGACCCCAGCTCTGGAAGCCCACACTATTTATTGGTGGTCAAACAAAGAAGCAGGTGGTGAGGCTGTGGGGGTTGAAAGGAAGTGGTGCATCCAGCACATGATCTACAGGTGTGTGGTTTAGCATTTATATGGAACATGTTCTGCTACTTGAGATCATGGGGAACATGTTCTTCTAGTTTAAGATACAACCGTTTTCTGAGCCTGGAAGTGCTAAAAGCAAGGAACCAGCAAGTCTAGGCACATTCCAGAGGCCATGAGGGGTTTTATGCCCTGAGCCCTGGATTCCATCCAAGCCACGAGGGGTTTGTGGGAAAAAGAAAGATAGACACTGTTACTGTGTCTATGTAGAAAGAAGCAGACATAAGAAACTCCATTTTGTTCTGTGCTAAGAAAAATTCTTCTGCCTTGAGATGCTGTTAATCTGTAACCCCAGCCCCAACCCTGTGCTCACAGAAACATGTGCTGTGTTGACTCAAGGTTTACCGGATTTAGGTCTGTGCAGGATGTGCTTTGTTAAAAATGTGTTTGCAGGCAGTATGCCTGGTAAAAATCATCGCCATTCTCCAGTCTCAAATACCCAGGGACGCAATGCACTGCAGAAGGCTGCACGGACCTCTGCCCAAGAAAGCCTGGATATTGTCCAAGGTTTCTCCCTACTGAGGTAGCCTGAGATATGGCCTCATGGGAAGGGAAAGACCTGACCATCCCCCAGCCTAACACCTGTAAAGGGTCTTTGCTGAGGCGGATTAGTGAAAGAGGAAGGCATCTGTCTCCTGGTCATCCTGGGAATGGAATGTCTCGGTGTAAAACTCAATTGTCCATTCAATTTACTGAGATGGGAGAAAACCGCCTTATGGCTGGAGGTGAGACACGCTGGCGGCAATACTACTCTTTACTGCACTGAGATATTTATGTAAAGTCAAACATAAATTTAGCCTACATGCACATCGAGTTACAGCACTTTCCTTAAACTTATTTATGACACAGAGACCTTTGCTCACATGTTTTCCTCCTGACCCTCTCCCCACCATTACCCTGTAGTCCTGCCACATCCCCCTCCCTGAGATAGTAGAGATAGTGAGAGATGGTGGAGATAGTGATCAATAAATACTGAGGGAACTCAGAGGCCAGGGCCCGCACAGGTCCTCCCTATGCTGAGTGCCAGTCCCCTGGGCCCACTGTTCTTTCTCTATACTTTGTCTCTGTGTCTTATTTCTTTTCTCAGTGTCTCATCCCACCAGATAGGAAATACCCAGAGGTGTGGAGGGGCTGGACCCCTTTAAGGTTTTATGTCCTGGGCTGAGATTGTAATGCTTGTAATGCGGCGGGGCAGCCTCCCACCCTTTGGCACAGAGCTTGGTATTCCAAAGGCCGCAAGGGGTTTTAGACCCTGGACCCCGGCATGTTCCAAGACTCTTTTTATATTATGTCAGACTAGCAAGCCCTGCCTCAGCTTTTCTCCAACACTCAGCTTTTCCCCAACATTTAACGCTATTCTAAAAGCACCCAAGTATTTTTATTTATTTATTTAGTTTTTCCGATGGAGTTTCACTCTTGTTGCTCAAGCTGGAGTGCAATGGTGCAATATTGGCTCACTGCAACCTCCGTCTCCCGGGTTTGAGCGATTCTCCTGCCTCAGCCTCTCAAGTAGCTGGGATTACAGGCATGATCCGTGGCGCCCGGCCACCCATGTATTCTTGGTTGAAAAAATTTGTTCATGTCTTAGTTCTACAGCTGATCCTCTTTCACTGTTTTCAATGTCAATAGCTGTGTGTTCACACTTCTGCATTTTATTTGTTTTTTGTTTGTTTGTTTGTTTGTTTGTTTGAGATGGAGTCTCGCTCTGTCACCCAGGCTGGAGTGCAGGGGCCGGATCTCAGCTCACTGCAAGCTCCGCCTCCCGGGTTCA